TTGAGATATGGAGATGTGGGGGGGGGGGGACACGACACCTATAACCTTACTGATTTACCAGTCACTAACTCCTCATAAACCAAGGCATACAACAGGAAAAAAAAAAAAAGAGCTGTGTGTCGTAGGCAACTGAGATTAATAAGAATTAGGCAAATGGCTTCTGCTTTTGTGTTGATGAGATAGTACCAGCCGTCTTGCGGTCACACAAAGGCTGCCATTTAGCAGGGAGCACTCCCTAATTCTCTTGGCAGGGGTGCCATTGGAATCGGATACAAGTGGGTGGCACAGGGGAGGAGCCGCCAAAGAGGACAAGCAGGCTTTGTGTATTAAAAATGAAACAAAAGCACTTTATACCCTGCGCTGGGTGCAACAAGCTGGGCTGCTTGTGAATCAGGGTGGAGTTTGAAATCTCAGCTTTACAGGGAAAGCACCCCTCCCCCCCCCTTAAAAAGCTCTTCACTGAAATGCTGCCAGATAGCTGAAAATGCCCCAAAATATCTATTGAACAATAGTTGTGTTACTTTTTCAGGCTTGGTGGTTGTTTATCTCTAACTCAGCTTCAAATTGCTGGAAAACTGCTTAATTTTTAAATTAGATGTATATTTCCTTGCTGATCAAGAGCACTAATCTCCCCAGAAAAAGAGACATGCCATTTCCTCCCCACTCCACACCCCCTTCTTTCTTTACAGCTCCATGCCGATGAACTACAATTTTTTTTATATTCCTTGTGATGCCTTATTTGCCTTGTTTTTTTTGTAGTTCATAACTCTTAGTGACTAACTCAGGCCACTGATTTATTTTATACACTAGTTCCCTTGCCTCTGCTCCCAGCTCCTACCTAAGAACTAAAAATAATGCAGAATTAAAGGGTTAAGACTGTAATTTTAATTGGAATTTGGGGGGGCTAGATATTTTTAGTTTCTGATCTTTGGCATGCCACATTTTTAATGAAGCAGTCACACACACAATAAGCTGCATACATTGGAAGGAGAAAATCTTACTAACTTTAAAATAATATACTTGATTTTCCCATTTCCAGTGCTTTAGTTTGAGCCTGCATGTATAGTACGTGCAGAGTAGATCTATAAAGCAGGTATAATATTCAGAGTGATAAAGTTACAACTGGATAGAGAATTGGATGTAACTAGATCAGGAAAATATATTACACTGGATGATTTAGGTTGCAAACCTGTCAGTACTTTTTATTAAAATGTAATTAGTGTGTTATGCACTTCATCCTATTGATCTCCTGCAAAATTTTCTTACCCTGTCAACTTGAAGTAAATTACCCCACTGAAGTAAGAGAAAATGTGAGACATTCTTCTAAATGTTTACTACAACTTGCAGGTAATGTTCATCCTTGGCAAATGCATTTTTGTGTGTAGACTGACTGGAGATGGCTGGGAAGCCTGTGTTTTCACGCACAATTACATCCATACTCGTAGGCAAAGACAGAGATGTCATGTTTCAAAAAAGACAAGATTTCTTTTGACTTTATAAAGTCATTCATGTGACGGGTGGATAATAAAACCGTTATTTGGATGTTCAGTGCAATTGGTGTAGTTTCAGATAACCACCGGTTTTGTTTTACATGTTTCATTATTTCAGAAAACAATTGCCAACCTTGTGTTGCCTACCTCACTTTGTACATAGTTCTTGTCCTGTATGGGCATCAAGCTCTGATTATGTTTCACTGAGAAATACATAGACCCAATGCACAGTAAAAATCCCTTTGACTATGTAAGGCCCTTGTCTTGGTGGTGATATAAATACATTCACTATGCCATTTGCCTGTGTATCATATTACTTCTTTGACGATAACAATGTGAGGCTGTCATTATGTGATGCTCCAAGTCTTGGAGACTGTACACGTAAGTAACCTTTTAGTGGCTGTTACAGATGAGTTGCTTATTAAATAGGAAAAGTGATTAATCCCGCTGAAGAATAATGCTTCATGTATGGATTGTTAGCATTTGAGATTTCTACATGTGTTTATTCTTGTTTATCTGCTTATAGTGAGCTCCTTTCACTTGCCCAAATCATCTCAGCATTACACTATGCATACTGACACAGTTGCACTTCCATCTGGATGAAATACTGCGAGCATGATGTATTACTTCCAGTAAGTGCTAATGGAAATCTCAATAGAAAAAAAGACATCGTATTTAGAAAAATGTTTGTGTCTAATTTTGAAAATATTTCATCAGGCCTTCTGTTTGTTTTTGATTTTATAGTTTTAAAACCCAATCAATGATACAGAGTCTGAGAGCCATTAAACATGCTGCTTCTACATCTGCTTGTATCGATAGATTTATTTTTTTCCCTTTTAAAGTGAATATAACAACTTTTTTTTTCAATATTACCGTGGAGTAATGCTCTGTACTTAGTGCATTTCTGTGAGGCATATTTTTGGCCCATTGTGTCTGTCTTAGGCTTGTCTTTCACATATCAGTTCATGTTGATCTTGCCCAGTACTTTACCTCTGACAACAATCTGAATAACAGTGTGGATTGTATTTTCCCATTTTTTATCTTTGCGTTGCTCTGCTCATTAATTTCTTTTTTTCATCCTGATTTTCCTGGCATCTGGTTACGTTAACACCACGTTTGGCCTTTCCCTCAGCAGGATATTGCAATGTTGACCATTATCCAGGGAGCTGGAATGCTAGCACAACGCTGTAAGCATGACATCTTAGTTTGATTCAATAAACAATCGCTCTTTTTAATTATCTGATTTTTGAATAGCCATAGTCACAAACAGTAGCATTCATTCTGCGGTGCTCTTTGTTAGACATTTGATTTCACCCCATGAACTTCCTAACCAGTCTCAGATGTCCAGTTTACAAATTACTACTATACTTTGATTTTCTGTGTTAAAATAACTTCACAGAATTCTCCTCAATAGAATAACCCTCTACTTGTCCATATAATCATCATAAATAAGTACTGTAGTAACTGGTAAATTGTGATATTTGGGACTTATTATGACTGTTGCCTCTACTGAAGTGGTTCATCACTTCCATCACTTCCTAAAACATGTAGCAGAGTAACGAGACAGACAAGAGGCAAGGATTTCTTAAGGTGATGTCTTTTATTGGACCAACTGTGTAGACAGGAGAGATGCGTTCTCAACCTAGACTTGAAATCAAAAAAGATTTTGCCTTATTCGTCTCTCAGGTAGGGATCTTTCAGGCCAGTTTGTATCAAAATTGCCTAACTGCCTTCTGAATTTTTGAGTGCCCTAATTAGAATATATTGATCCAAAATTTTCCGTTAAGCGGTAGAAGCTAAGTAACTCTAAACCTCAGCCCTAGTGAGTCATGCAAAAGAGGCACCTCCTCTGAAAATCTGAGCCCAGATCATTTAGCCCCCCCGGATGAAAGATGCAAATCGCTATGCTCCCCGACAGCTGTTTCATAGACGAAGAATGCAGCTAATGTTATTTTCTCCAGCAATTTCCAGGCACCTTACAGGTTAGACTTCACACTTACGAGAGAGACAGATAGTTTTCCATTAAATACTCACGGTGACTTTTGAAACAAATCCCCTCGTTATTTGAGGACTTGGCGTTCCCTTCCGTTGGACTTAAGGATCAGTCCGCTTCCGAGTGATTGTTTCCAATAAGAATCATAGTTTCTAAGCAAAATCCTCAGTTTTTGAAATTTCATTCAAGTCATTTGTTTTTTTGGCCTCAAAACACGAAACTGTCACTGTGTAGGTGACGCACAAAAGGAAGAGAATATAAACGCTTGTATAATGGTACTATTCCCATGCATAACAAGTTACGGGACTGAGGATTTACTGAAATGTGAAATTGCCTAAAATTTCATTATGAAAATACGTTTGCAATGTATTGTGCAGAGAAAAAATAAACAATCGTTTTCGCCAGCTCCGAGTATAACAGTTTTACCTATTGGCAAACAAGGCACAGTAAGGTTTACATGTTCTACTCAGAAATGAAACATGCAGTGATAAAGAAAAAGAAAAAACTAAAACCCTTGGAGGTGCATTGGCCTGTTCAGTAACTCCCAATTCTGGCTGCACACAAGCTCAGGCAGGTGTTTGAAGAGGCCTCTGCTCCTCTTGTTGCGTATATGTCGTCCTCCTGCGGGACAGCTTCCTCACGACTGTTTCAGCCACCAAATCACAGGGTGTAGTGCAGCGGTAGAAGAGCAGCAGTTCCTCTGATCTGTAATACTCCTACTGATTACGTGAAAGAAACTGGGCCTGTAGCACATGTCCCACATGCAAAAGCTAACGATATACAAAAGGTATTTCTGTCCTGTTTCAGTTGTTATGTTTCTCATTTTGGATCTTGCCTTGCCTTTCCTTTTCAAGGAAGATTTCTGTCGGAAGTTCATTTTTGAGGCTGAAAGAGTGAGAGTTATCCCTTTATAAATGCAGCTTTTAAGAATGTAGAAAAATATATAGGGTGAAATAATTGAAGACGGGGGGGAACCTGT